CGTCCATGTTTGACAGGGTGTGTTGCCAATGGGGTTGCTTCCTTGTTAACCCCGGCAACAGGCAGCCATTTAAATATAGTAGACCGCGATTCTAGGGTGGAAGGTTGCGCTGCATGATTCGCACATATAGACTGGTATCGTATGGTGTGCAGCGCTGGCCGAGTCAGCCCCCCCTCTACTCGTTGTAAATAATAGTCTGCAAATACTTCATGGTTATAGCATTTACTATATTTACACTTGGGAAGAACATACCATAGTTTCATCATTACCATAGTGGCCAGGCTTCCGTGGAGTGACGACAATACGCAGCAGGGTCTGGTGGCAGGGAGTTGCTATTGATATGGGTCAAGATGTGAGTTGATATGAAGACTTTGGTGTAGCAGCCGACTGTAAACCCCGAATTCGCGTCAGAGTAACAAAAATCGTCCTTCTAAGAAACGTGATGCCGTTCGTCACGCGATTCAAGCCGTGCTGTTTGCGCGGCACTTGACCCGAGATCGTTATATAGATTTAAATTAAACCCTAATTAATTTCATAATAAGTAGGAACGACTTATTAGATTCAACGTCGGGGCATCCTTGGTGAGACAAGTATGCGCAGGGTTCCATGCTAATATGCATAACGTCGAGCAACGCGGCTGTAGGGGTAAATATTCCCGGCCCGCCGGTACCGATGGGATATAGCAGGGAATGAGGAAAGAGCATCTCCGGAATTTCAACCCTTGTCATTATAGACGACGAGTCTCAAGGGTGATGCTCGCAGCGAATCTTTTGGCCCAACGTTGAGCTATATTGCACGAAGGCTACCACTATCCGGGTACGGTAGCACCTGATATTACAAGGAGGACAATGCATAATCCACCAAATTTTTACTTTGAGATACCCTTCCCGTTACTACTCTTTGTATGAGTTCATTGAGGCGGTGCCTTGCGGTGTATGACTCGACTCGCTCAGCTCATCTCCTTAGCTGTAGTAGGCAGCAAGATAAATACCGCCAGTTTCCTATCAAAACTATTGCTCTGCTCTTCACCAGCAACAAAAACTACTCTGTACAATCTTCTACGTTCTTCTTTTACCCCATTAACAATCTCATCTTCCATCCTCAAAATGGCACGCAAATCAGCTATCATGCTGGCTGTCGCATGCTCTACACTTTTAACGACGGCGGCAAGTATTGATAAGAGACTTGCTGGGGGAGAAGCTGCCCAAATTGGCGATATTCCAAGCATGGTCAGCATTCAAAATGAGAGAGGTTACCACGAATGTGGTGGTACTTTATTGGATAGCACCACTGTTCTCACTGCCGCTCATTGTCTTGGATCAAGCCACGCTGTCAGGGCAGGAACGCTGGTAAAGCATCTTCCCTTTTACTCTCCTCTCCCGAGAGTAAGCTGCCCTTTACGCAGCTAATAATTTTCCAGAATGCACACGAGGGCGGAGTCATTGCGAATATTTCATCTCGGAAGCCACACCCCAACTACAAGAAACAGACTAGCGTTTATGACTCTCCCGAGAATGATATTGCCATCGTGAAATTGTTGACTCCAATTGAGAAAAGCGATGTCATCGACTACGCACCACTGCCGGCGGACGGCGCAAACCCTGTAGCCGACTCTGCCGCAATAGCCGCAGGCTGGTAAGTGCTATTGACCAGACTTGACTTGGCACTGTTGGAAAAGACGCTGACTGGTAGGCAAGGGGTTATAACTACGACACATCTCGGTATAGTTATCACCAACTTATCAAAGTTGAACTTCCTGTTCGCGGACGCGAGTTTTGTGAGAAGATAGCCCCAAAAATCTTCCATGGCAAGGACACGTACCTATGTGTTGGGGGGGATGGCAAGGGTGCCTGCCATGAAGATAGCGGCGGTCCTCTTTTTGACAAGGAAACGAAACAATTCATTGGTCTCACATCATTCGGCCTGGGTCGCTTCCCATGTGGTCCTACGCATCCCTCAGTCTATACCAGAATCAGCGGCTACATCTCTTTTATTAAGGAAAACATGGGGGGTAGTAGTTCTGTGTAATTCTCGGGCCGAACACGGTCAACCAACAGTTGCGGGAGACTGCAAGCAAAAAGACCAGCTTTTTTTACCTTCATACTCTCCTCGGATAAGCCAGATCTGTGCTCAGTTCATCTTATTCAAGTTTTATTTGGAGTACGTGCTTGATCCTGGCTTAATCTCTGGTTTTAGATAGACAGCTATAAAACTGGTCAGTTAAAATAGTCTGAGCAGCCTCTTTTCAATCTATGTGGTGATAAGTCTACACTCGCTAATGCTTAGTATATGTATTTATATATACCGGTAAGAATCAACTGCATATGCATCTAACGTACAATTCCTCTGGCATTTATTCGGGTTCTTCGCGCCTCCGTGGAACTGGTACAGTTGCGACACACAAGCAACCTTTTGCCCGACCGTCCATCACCACCGGCCGTCGATTCTTACAAACGATATGTGTTCGTCGGTACACTCGGATCAACAATTCTGCTGGCTTTCTTGCCGCTAGCTCTGATTCAACGTACAATACTTGGTCTGTTGTTCTGTGCTGCCCGGCGTGCTTGCCTCGCAGGATGTCTTGGGCTCAGCAATCTCAGCCATACGTCTGCAGCCATGCTCGGAGGCCTTCTAACGCGACCGTCAATATTGACTTCCCCCCAGAGTCGGCCTTTTGCCTCACCTGCAATGGCAATCGGTACGACGTCGATAACGGCATGTTGCTTGCACGTGGTGACGTCGAGATAACGGTTTGCTTACATGCACACTTCATGTGCTATTAGTACACCAGCCTGGTTATATCCCTTGTAGGTAAGCCTAGAGAATCCTTCATAGACAATGTGCTTGTGGATGGACCCCTATCTTTGGAGGTTGAAACGACTAGCAATAGAAATCATGCTGATGAAAAGCCCACTGGCCAGGGTGATGATGTTCTCTCCTTTCGATGGTAATTACACTTATCCCGGGACAGCCGCCGCTGTGCTGCTGTTGTTTTGAACCGAGAAACTCACAGTGTCCAAAGTCTACGAGGCTTGCTTCAACAGACAGATGGTCGGCTCGACCATCAACAATTCGCTACAAGCTCGCCGGGGATTCTACCCCTTACTCAGAAGGAACATCACCAATAATAGCGTCCATCCTCCAGAGTCGAGTGACCAAACGCTTGCCCGGCTCCTGGGGGGCTGTTGGCCCTCTGTTACACGGAAAAGGC